GAGGAGGGAGAGGGAGAGGGAGGTGGTGGTGGTGATGGCGATGGCGGCGGCGGGACGGGGACGGGGGCCGTTTCCGGCACCGTGCGCCACATCCAGGAAGCGACGCCACCGCCCCGGGGCTCGACCGCTTCCCTTCTGCCGCCGCCGCCGGGGTCAGTGACGGGTCCAGCTCTGGGTGCTGGCCCGAGCCTGGCCGCCTCCGACATGCTGGCGCGGAAGGGTCCGCCCGGGGGTGCCTGGGGGGCCCTCCCGGTTCTGTGTCAGGCCGGGCCATCTCTGTCCTCCTGGCAGCCGCCTGCCCGCCGCGGCGGCTCACTGGCCTCGCTGCCCCTGCCAACCCCCCGGCAGTCGCCGCAGGACTCGGCACCAGCCACCGTGCTCGAGGTCTTAGGCGGCACTTTCGCCGTTTTCACCGCCAACTCCCCGCCTTATTTCCAGATTATTTCTAGCACGGTGGGCACCACCATGGCGGGGCCTGGGAGCAGCCCGGGTACACAGCAGTTCTCCCTTTTCGGAGGATCATCTTGGCTGGCACTCCAGTCATAATGCATCATCCCTGCCTTGGTCGGCTGACTGAAAACCCTTGCCTGTGGTTTGACGTGCCACCTCTTTCAGAAGGGTATGATGCTTACTCTGTTTTTTCATACAATAGTGCCAGCTATGTTACCACTTTCTCATTATGCCCTCATAGCTGTTGTTCAGTTATCTATCATTTGTGGCGCATGTACATTTCTTGCTAAGGCTACATTGCAAAGGAATCTCTTGATGTGTACAAGTAGTTTTGTAGCTCATTTTCGCCTGTGACACGTGGATATTCATCACGTGCGTTGCTCAAATCAATCTCTTAAGTTCCTGAATTGCTGAGGTGAACAGCTGTTTCCTGAAACACTGTAATGTGTTTCTGTAATTTGATCATGCCTGACGCTTAAATGATGCCTCATTAAATGAGACATCCCTTGATAGGATGTCTGCACAGGAGGAAACATGGTATTTTTCTGCCTGCTACCTCTTGACCTAGAGAGCCCAAATGTAGGATCTGGAAGGATCATTTCAGTTCAGTACAAACCCATTGGTTCTTCTAGGTGGAAGCATGTTCTCATTTGGCTTTAGCTGTCACAAAATAGACACCTTGTATACACTAGTTCTTCAAGCTCTCTCTGTAACTGAAGGGGAGAAAGAGGCTTCAGCAGAGAGTCTTCCATCCTGAGGTAGGTATCTGAGATGCGTAAGAAGAATTCCCTTTGGAGGTGCCTCTCTGTGTCTATGGCCTGTAACTGGGACCTGCATAATCAGTTTATCCAAAACATATAACCTCTGGAGGACTACATTTAGGCAAAGTAAATACAGGTGTCTGTCATTCAAAACCAAAAGAATTACCTCATTTAGGTTATCACATATCCCACAACCTCTCCTCTCCTTTTCTCCACTAAACCAGATAATCCTTACTCTGACTATGACTGAGTGTATCTGAATTGGCCCACAAATATTATTTCAAGTCAAGAAGGAACTCATCAAGTCTTCAGGTTTTGGGGGACTACTAAGCTTGTGATGATTTGTGCTTCATTTTTATGTGTAGTACCACATATTCACATGGTTATTGCTAATACTTCATATCTTCCTTAGAAACTCCAGCAAACAACTACAAGCCCAGAAGTCTCTCTCTTACATTCCATTCCCTAATATATAGGAGATAACTGGATACCTACCATTTTCAGATGTCATCTTTACAACTTTGAAGTTATACTCAGTACCTCTCAGTTCTGTCCTGAAATGCTAGGTTATCCCAAGTCTTCAGCTTATCTTAATGCCAATTATGATAGCGTATTTCTACCACAGAACTGCCCTGGTGCTGAAATCCTTGCACTATTTCAACTAGCTGTGCTTAAAGTAACACTGAGCCTATGAGCCAGATTGGATGTAGTCATACGCAGGTAAGAGTGTTTTTTCCCACTGTCAAACATGAGTCCTCTGAGAGTCCATCTTTTTTTGTAGTCACTTTACTCCCTTGAACAAGTGATAACTACCAGTTTAAAGCACAAGTATCAAAGGAAGCCAGTGATAATATGAAGTGTCACCAAATGAGAAATTAATCCGTATCTACAGAGATGTACTTTGCATGCCCAAGGCATTGTGATAAAACACATCTGAGAACTATTTCTTCTGCAAAGGAAGACTTTTTTTTTGTATATACCAAACACTTTTATTATATGTGACATGTTTTGATATGACAACTGCACTATGTCTCCGAAAGCTTAGTTTATTGACATTTATAGCAGTACTTGCTGCATGAGGAACAAATTGGAGAGCTATTTTTCAAGTTATCTTCTGATCCTGGATATATACTGAAAGATAAGGGAAACTCATGAAACCACAGGGGAAATAGAGGCAGGAAGCACACTTCAGTCCTCCTTTGTAGCATGAGTGGATGTCCCTGCTGGACCAGGCCCACACCTCGATACGATCAGTTCTCTTCTGCTATTGCAAACCTGCCCATGGGTTCTTTCTCAGAGAGAGCAGAATTACACTGAATGAAGATTATACAAAAAGCAGTAGTTGAAGCCAAACGTTTTAACATCAAAAATCCAAATTTCTCACCACCTTTTATTGGCTTTTCACACTTTGCAGGCCTATATTTTGGTGCTAGTCACAGTATGAAGCCTGAGTAGTTTAGGCACAGTTCTCACTTCTGGCTATAGAGCTGGAAAGAGATGGCCCATGCTTAAGGATAAAACAGGATTAGAGAGGTACAAAACTGTTTATTCTTGTATTCCTGGATCTCAGTCTAAATTGTGGCTATTACTGTAATTCTGTAGTATGCTGTTAACAAGAGAAACTGTTAGTTTCACAATTTTATATATGTCAATAAATTGCAGCAGCCCAGACAAACTGTGATATGCATAATAAATATTAGAATTTAATATAATTACAGCAGAGTAAAATATAACAAATACTCAGTGTTGTGAGGGGTTTTTTTTAAACTCATGATGTATTTTCTTCTTCTTCCTTCACAGTAACGTGTTCACAGATAAAATAGTTGAGACATCATCTGTTGGGAAATAGGTGGACTTGCATATGTTCAGCTGACTCCTGTGTTTCTACTACAATATTTCTACCAGTTACTTTCTTTTCAGACACAGAGGGACATGGTGTCAAGGAAAATCTGTTGTTTTGAGTAATTCAAAGAAATTCAAAGCAATCACTGTGTAATGTTACTAGCATTATCATGATTCTTGTGGGATTGTGAGTTGAGGGTTCTTCTGTACAAAGATTACATTCTTGTAGATATTGTGTTAGGTTATATTCAATAAAACCACAACTAAGTTATATCTGTAAGGAAGATGCCTCAATGTTTTATTTTGAGGTATGTTGGAAATATTTTCTATTCATTTTGGCTGGGTAATTAAGTGCATATAATGAAGTAAAAGGAAGAAGAGAAGAAAGTGCATTGAATGTGGCATTCAAACAGGTTCCCTTCATAGAATCATAGCAGCATAGCATCATAGAATCGTAGTATCATATAATGGGTTGGGTTAGAAGGGACCAGAGACCCAATCCAAACTGGCCTTCAAGACTTCCAGGGAGGGGGTT